TGAAACGCGCCCTTTTGGCAGCCAGGCAAGGAAACCTTAAAATGCATATGCGTGGGGTCCGTGTATTATTGTATAAAAGAGCTGTAAGTTGTAAATGTATTCAGATCACTAGATCAGTAGAGAATAGAATTGGGATTAGATTAATCGCTGGAAGTGGTTACATTGCATAATTTAAGTACAAATTGCAAATTTTGACACGTTATAATGCTGTTTCCTGACCATCAGATTTCTGTCAAATCGTCCCCCAAAGTCCAGGAAATGGCATTTCAGAGACTCTAAATTCAAAAATTTTCCTGGGGGGCATGCCCCCGGACCCCCCTAGACAAACCTCGCACCTTCGGCGCTCGGCTCGTGCCTTCGGCCGTCGTTTATCACGTGTAATATTATAGGGGCGCATATTGGTTGACAGCCCACTGGCCCCCCCAGAAAAATAGTACCCAGCACGCCACTGCAGCATGGCTCCGAGCCCTACAGGGCTGGCATCAACACGGAGGTGAGTTGGAGCCGAGGGATCGTAGTGGGCCATAACCGTATTGCCAGTAAGAAGATTCTTCAGGGTGTCGAACGCGTTTTGGTGGATGGAATTCCATTGCCACGGAGTGCTTTTCCGAGTAAGGAGACGGAGAGGGTCGGCAACAGTTGCAAAATTCGGGATGAAACGCGAGCAGTAGGTGGCAAGTCCCAAAAAACTGCGTACTTCGGCTGCATTGGTGGGTACTCTTGCTTCACGGATAGCTTCAACTTTCTTAGTGTCGGGACTGACCCCAGATGCTGACACTTCGTGACCGAAAAATGTGAGGTTGCTAACACCAAAAAGGCACTTATCCTTGTTCAGGGTGAGACCCGATTCTTGTAGACGTTGGATGACATTGTTAAGGTTTTGATCGTGTTCATCTTTGGTTTTACCGAAAACAATGATGTCGTCGGATATGTTTCGCACACCAGGAAGACCTTGTAAGATCTGTTGAATAATGTGTTGGTAAACTTCGGGTGCTGAGGAGACACCAAACATCAGTCGCGTATACTGGTATAAGCCCTTTTGGGTTGCAAAGGTGGTAATTGGTCGAGATTCAGGGTGCAGTTCAATTTGGTGGTAGCCGGATCGTAAATCTAGTTTAGAGAACACTGTGGCTCCTTGCAACTCTTGGAGGGTTTCTTCGATAGTAGGGATAGGGTGGCGTTCACGGATTATTGCAGAATTTGCTTGACGCATGTCGACGCAGACACGAATGTCGCCATTAGGCTTTGGTACTGCCACAAGAGGTGAGACCCAGGGGCTAGGCCCCTTCACTGGTTCGATGATGCCAAGTGTTTCGAGTTCATCGAGTTTTGTCTGGACGGCCTTGCGAATGTGGAAAGGAATTCTACGTGGTGCTTGGGCAACTGGAGGTACCGACTCATCAAAATGTAGGTGCAGTTGCAAATCTTTGAATTTTCCGATGCCGTTGAAAACTTGCGGATACTTGGTAACAAGTGTTTGCATGAACAGGTTGTCTCCATTACATGTGTTCTGAATTGGATGGAAGTTCTCATGTTCTTGAAATAACCCAAGATCAGTTGCAGTTTTGTGCCCCAAGAGTGAACCAGAATTTTAATTCGCAACAACGATGAAAATGGCATTCGTAATTAAATCTTTATGGGAGACCTGTGCAGTAAACGAACCTTGAATACTCAGTGGTGTTGATGATCCATATGGAAATAATTTGAGATTTGTTTTGGACAGTGTGATCGGGCTGTTTGCCTTAATTTTTGCAAATATTTCATTGTCAAGTACATTAACAGTTGCGCCTGAATCAACGATGAGATCAACTGGGAAGTTCCCAATTTGGACGGTTGCATGGGGCATTTTCCCGGTGGCACCAAGTTCGAAAACATACTCATCGTCCGATAAACTTTTCCCGGTGGCCGGATGTGGAGCGCCGTATACATACCGTATTTCGCCATGACTTCCGGTATTTTGCTTGTAGATTTCATTCTTGTTTTTCGATGTAGGATTCTGAAATTCAGGCTTGTTTGTCGGTTTCAGTTGACGACATACTCTAGCGAAATGGCCAAGCTTGTGACACTTATTGCAGGACATTCCTTCGGCAGGACAACGAGGGTCTTTAGCTCGGTGACCGGCATTTCCACAACAATAACAAACGATATTCGAACGACCTGTTTGTATCGATGTTGGATAAGAGATGATGCAGCTTTAGAACGGATTGCATTTACGCCCAGGTCGGTGGTTTTTAAGGGCATGTAGTAAAACACTGACTACCGGAACACCGGAACACCACCGGAACACCACTGGAACACCGGAACACCACCATTTTGTTTGGGGTTAGGGTTTGGGGTTAGGGTTAGGATTGGGGGTTAGGGTTGGGGTTAGGGTTAGGATTGGGGGTTAGGGTTGGGGTTAGGGTTAGGTGGTGTTTCGGTGGTGTTCCGGCGGTGTTCCGGTGTTCCGGTAGTCAGTGTTTTACTACATGCCGTTTTTAAGCTGTCTGCTTCTATTTGCGAGGCTTGCCGTTCGGATGCTTCGAACGAACGACCGATTTCGACTGTTTTCTCAAGAGTAAGTTCTGGTTCGCGAAGTAATCGTCGTCTCAAACGACTAGACGAACAATGTTCGATAATCTGGTCACGGATCATATCGTTGGGGTTGCCATATTCGCAGAATTTTACTTGGTGTTTTAAACGGATAGCTAACTGTTCGATTGTTTCTCCTTGTAGTTGTGTTGTCTGTCGAAAATTGTGACGCTCGAAAGGAATGTTCTTTTGTGGCTCGAAGTAGGACGTTAACTTTGCTATTGCGGTGTCAAGATCGTTGCCAGTGTCTTCTAGGGTTTCAAAAATGTCTTGAACTTCAGGTCCTGCGAGGTGGAGAAGGATGGCACGTTGTTGTTTCTTGTCGTTGATTCCCGAGGCAGCAATATAATATTCGAATGACTTGATCCATTTTCGCCACCGTTGGCTAATGGTCGAAGTTTCCCCCAAGGTAAAAGGTTGTAGTTTTGGTAGATCGAGTACTTTCGCCATTTTAACACGCGTTTAATAACTCCGTTACCTCGTCGCCAGTTATAATATTCTATTTTCCTATTTAGTCTAAAATACACACACCAAAATCTATTCTATACACAAGCGTCCTTTTTCCACGAGGTTTTCTTTCTCTACCCCCTTTTGTCCCCTATATCCTCTAAATCCATATCGGTCCCTTAATATCATCTATGGTCATAATATAATACAAAATAGCCTGCGAACTAACCTGAAGTTCAGGCCCTAATTTGAAATAGGGCCTGACACAAAACCTGTCTAGACCGTGGGACGCCCACATGTTATTTTTAGACATACATGCAATATGATTGACAAGTGTTGTAGATTTCGTTACACAAAAAATTTATATTCTCATGAACATGTCCGCGGAGTGTGCATTTTGCTTTTTCATTAAACTTAAGAATTCAAGGTACTTTTATATAATTAAGAGTCAGTTTCTCTATTTAACCGAACAGCAAACAAATATTTATATTAATTAGTCAGTTCTGTGCTAACAACAGCAACAATTAAATTCTCAATCGTACCACGAAGAAGGCGATGTAGCTCAAAAAACAACGCCGGTAGGACCTGATATTAAAAATAAGACTTTTGCCGGCGAAGCCAGTTGGCAGAACATCTTGGCTGTCAACAACAAGCTTTCGAATACATGACTAGTTTGGCTGTTCTTTCAGCGTCGTGTGTCCAAAATTCGTCAAAGTTTTTGATAAAGCCCTTTCAAAATACTGTTTGTTTGATTTATTTTCTGCCATAAAGCATAAAAGAAAGAAATTCGAAGAAATCGATAATGGAATTTGTTACGTGCGTTTGACCTTTTATATATTAATTGTCGCCTTGAGCGAGCTATTTTTAAAACTGTTGTTTATGTGAACTTGCAACCAATCAAAATCCTTCATGATGCTGATCAACCAATCAGATTTCCCGTCCACCAGGTGGACGGGAATCCCACAGTTTTGATAGGTTTTGTGTCAGGCCCTATTCTGTGAATATAGGGCCTGAACTTCAGGTTACCTGCGAACAGGCTCTCAAGCTGAATTGAGAGCCTGCATCGATGACTAATGAATTTGAATATCTGCCCCGTAATGTTCGTTTTTCCAAATATGGAATGTCTATCCTTATATGGTGTTGTTTACAACTTTCGTGCAAACTAAATTTAGACCGTGCAAACTAAATTTAGACCGTACAGTAATTTATACTGTTTTTCGAAATATAAAATATTCAAGCAAAAGTTTAAATGTTTTAAATACTGTACTGTTTTTTCAAAACAGAACATTTCGTGCTTTGAGATAAGATGGCCAAGACCAATTTGATCAGTTAATGTGTTTTTTATGCATAGTTCAGCAGTTGTCATATACAGAGCTCAGCGGAATAATATAAATTATAGCATCTGACCAATGAGAATTTCGCGTCACGATTTGAGACGCAGATATTCAAATTCATTAGTCATCGATGCAGGCTCTCAATTCAGCTTGAGAGCCTGTTCGCAGGCTAAATACAAAATAACTCAAACAGAAACACTATAAGCGGGCTCGGCGTTTTTTTGCCGTGTACACGCGTAAAAACGCTCAAGTTGATGCAATACTGATGAAAACAGGATTGAACAATGTTCTGCTGCCCACATTGTTCATAGCTGTCAACAATATTGAACAATATTGTTACACCCGATTCAGGCTCAACAACATTGTTCAATATTGTTGACAAGTGTGAACAACGTGGGCAGCAAAACATTATTCAATCCTGTTGAGCACGGGCTCGGCGTTTTTTGCCGTGTATACGGGTAAAAATTGATCATGTTGTTCGGCGCTGTTCAAACAGTAGCGAACAATGTTGTGCTGCACCCCGTGAACAATATTGTTAACAAGTTGTTCAACCATCAGTACTGTTGCAGACAAGAGTAAGAAAATCAAACATACCTTGTAGCGACCCGTTTCATTGTAGCCATAGGGTTTTTCCTTCTTCCTGGCAGAGTAATCTGTCGATCACTGATCATTAAGCCTAGTTCTCATTCATCGCAAACTGTCACCGACGATCGGCGACGCTTATCGCCGATACTCGCTGGGCGCGAATGCACGAAAGTTCTCATACATCGGTGATCGTCGCAGATGACAGCCGATGTGTTTCGAAATTTCCCAAATTTCCTACAAAATGGCCCCATTCAACGTAAAGTTCATTATTTCTGTCAAACTTCAATTGATTCTTTCCTTGCTTGTGGAGGAAAAAACAACTTTTACTCATTTCTAATAGATTTTTCAAGCAGGTAGCAGTCGGCGATGGTCGCAAGAAACAAACTTTTTTGTTTCCTGCGATGTCATCGCCGATGGTCGGCGACGATTACGGACAATCGGCGTTATAATTTTTGATGTGTTCTCATAAATGGCAAGCGGTCGCCGACGTCGCAAAGCTCCCATCGCCGACGGTTTGCGATGAATGAGAACTAGGCTTTAGTTTCACCTTTCGAACTAAGCCGTCACAGTTCCAATGCTGTTACAGTGATGAAAATATTTGCTTTCATGTTTTTCTCGTGACCTCTGGGAGACTACCGGTCGTCAAAGGACACAGAGTTCCTTGCAAGTGAATAATGACGTAATTCCTAGAAATCACTGATATTCCCCCAATAATGCAAATCTATCATGCCATGCCACTTTAATGAACCACTCAAAAGCACAAAGCTTCCCATGTTATTCGCACAAATACAGAAGACGGGTAGTTATAAGCAGTGTTGTCAATGCTTTGGATAGTTAGTAATATGAGGACAAAGTAATGAGCATCGTTGAAAATTACAGTGAAGAATAATGCTACATTATGTGCTACCGGGCACAGTGACAGTGTTATTACTTATTCACAATTTCATAGTCCTTGACGCTGTGCCAATATCACTCTCGTATCAATACATACAGCAAATGTTAAACAGTTATTGAAAGTTTGTAATTACAGAAATGATACAAGAATTTTTAGACAGAATTGCTGTTATGGTTGTGTTTCTCTTCTCTGCAGAATCTGCAAGACAGTTCGCTCAACAGACGGCTGATCCTCCAATTAGCCAGTTCCAAGACGAGTCTGATGATGGAAGAGCCTTGTCTGAGTATGAACACATTACGAATTGTTCACAAGGTGTTGATGATCAGGGTTTGGAGAACACTTCTACATTTGAAGAGTCGACAGAGACAGATGCATTACGAACAACTGAAGACAACAATAACAACAACGAAGGAAACAAGAGTACAGTTCATGGCACTATTTCTAACGTTGTTCGACATGAGCAGATATCAGTGCTGCGTTCTTGTAAAACAAGTTTATGTATAAGTTTTACAATAACTGTTGTTGTCATTCCTGTGAGTATGGTGATGATTTCTGTGTTGTATATCAATGTTAACACCTCAAATCTATGTTACCAACAGTTGCTGAACAATAAGTCATTGCCTCACGAATTTATGAAATATGTAATTACTGGACATGATATTGAAGGTATGGCTCTAAATTTCTGGTTTCAATTGATGTTAGTCTTGCTGTTTGGTTGGAAAAAATTTAAATCACAACACTCGTCCACCTTACTGTTGGGTTTTGTTCTTGGTTTGCTTGTTGTGATATTCAAAACTACTTTGTTTCTAGTGAATATAGACTTTACCCAAACGAAGTATAGATACCCAGGCAATGCAGTTTTTCTCTTTGGAGTTGTTTACACTAGTCATTTGGTGGCTAAAAGAGTATGTACAACATTTTCTTCTGATGCCATACGCTTGAAAAAACGACACGTTTTTGCTATTGTTTCAACTCAGTTCTTCTTTGGGTTCCTGATTGCAATGGCCTACAGATATACCTTTGTGCCATGGTATCGTAGTACAAATAATGGCATAGATCAAGCAAGTATCGCAATGATTACACCAATTTTAATTATTCTACCAATGGTAATATCAGAAAAGTTGGCGATAAAAGGCTTGCCATTCACTGATGCAAGTCGTATTTTTGTCCTCGTATACTTTGTAAATGGTGTAAGCATATTGCTGTACTGTATAATGCAAGCTGGAGTGAACGATCTGAATATTTTTATTGCACTTTCTGTATTCCGGGGTGTATTCCAGGTCTTCCGAACAGCAACAGTAAAATTAAGGCGGAAATGTTGCACTGGAATTTGGAAATGTCTCAAACGTATGTGCACATCATGTCCACCACTTGGAGAATTAGAAGAATCAAGTTATTGTTGTCGTTTGAGGGTTGATAAAGAAATTCAGATTATGCTTTACCAGGGCATAGCAATAATAATTAGTCAAGCCTATTTGGTAATATATTTAACAAGTAACTACCATGTTGAAACACGAGACGTTCTGGAAGAATTTATTATGAAAAGAGTATTTATTGGTATTGGAATAAGTTTTGTTGCAAATTTTCTATCAATTTTGATCCATATTCACTGGCACAAGACACAGCTGACTAAAGTATGGTCTAGTCACTGGAAGCTTCATCTTCTTGCTGTTACTTTAGTTGGAATAATGACAATATGTTATTTTTCAGCAGTACTTCTCGGTCTATTTGAAACGTTTGCACATTTGAAGAAATATCATATTAAAGATTGTACTGAACCTTTTCAATAAAAGAATGAAGAGATACGTTTAGGAATGAGTTACGTACGATATCTTATATACGTACTGTAGTCGGTAAGTTCTGTAACTCAAATGTGGGGTTCAATAGTAAGATGTCTTCGCGTTATGGATGTAACTACCAGCTGACGAAATACACAGTGGAAGGACCAGTGATTTATAGATAATTAAATTGATCGAGATTTATTGCCAGAACGCATTTGTAATAGACGTGATTGCCATTTTATAGCACAATAGAAAGAAACTCTATATCAACCTCGTTCCCAGGGCTTTCGTGGAAAACCCTAGGAACGAGATTGACTCTAGATAGTATAGCTGCAGTAAGTGCGCGGGTTCATTACAAGCAAGTTCTTTTAATTTGGTGCGATGGCATGGTTAAGTCCCGCGGTCTTTAAATGCATGCGGAAAGAACAATTATTCGATCAATGACTTTAATTACGTATTATTTTTTATTATTTTACGTATTACTTTAAGTATTATTATATATAACTATATAGTAGCACAGTATAGTCGCTTAAAAATTCAATTATACTGGTCTCTAAAATGAATAAATTCAAATTTTGTGTAACTTGTGGTCAGGACGGTCGTTGGCTTCTTTTTTACATGATCAAAAGTTAACATCTACCGCGAAGAAACGCAGTACACGAGGAATAGAAATCCAAGCTATATATAAGAAAAAGTTTCATTTTATATTGTATTACAGTCAGGGCCGTTCCTAGACGCGATAATTGGGGGGGGGGGGGGG